CGGGGGTCCCAGTCTGCAGACACGGGGCCTGGGGACCCGCTGGGGGGACGGGAGGGTGGCCATGAAAGGCGCATGGAGGGAAGAGGAGCGAGCGGGAGCCCGCGCTGACAGCCGCATCCCCGCGACCTGTGCCACGCCGCCCAGGCTACAGCGTTTGGCTTCCCCATTGCTTTCTTCTTGTCTTTTGGCCAATTCGTTTTCCCCCCTTAAACAATCGTCTTTTAGTGACACCTTTGTGTCTGCACTGTTTCCCAACACCCATCCCCCCTTTCCATGGTGTCATTATGCCCATCCCTGCCTTTTCAACAACCGCCTGATTCATCGGGTTTCTGTCTTTATGTCCTTAAAGTGTGGGATTTGGTGACGAAGCGCCTAAATTGGAGGGCCCTGCCGGTGGAGAACATGAATCACCCCCTCTCCATCCTTTTCCGTAGCCGGTATTGTGCACCGGTGATTGACAGGACCACGAGGCGGAGCGCGCCCTGGAGATTTTGTTCTTTTCCCCCGCTCTGTAAATGTCTTAAAACCTTTGTCTAGACGATTCACTCGGACACAAGCGAGACAATTGCCTTTTTATTCTTTACTGGTGAACCCTGGCTCTACAGGGTTAACCTGGAAATTAACCAATCGGCTTTAAGCCATTGAAGGAGGACAAAAAGGCACCACCTCCGGACCGGGTACAAAGTGGAGAGCCCCCCTCGCTGGGCGTGATTGTCTGCACCTCCTTTTCCTGTTTGCCTGGGTACCCGAGCCGAGCTCACGGGGTCATGGTGAGTCACACGACCATCCCAAGCCCCCAGTTCCCACCTGATTTTACTGAATGGAGATTTGTGTCTTCCTTAAGGACTGCAATCATGGATGCTCGGCAGAATGTCCTGGAGAAAGCGGGTCAAAGGGAGTGGCGGATACTTTTAAGGTAAGTTTGTTTCCCAGAGTTGAAATGTCCGAAGTAACAGATCTGAGACCCATCCTACTGAGCACATCCATTTTGTTGCCGTTGTTGAGATCCGAGGGGAGAATTTTTACTGCGTGCTGTATATAATAGGTTAGAAATGTGCCTTGGCATTTTAAGTTCCTGGGGGTGGGGGTGCGGCGGGTGTGTGTGTGTGTGTGTGTGTGTGTGTGTGTGTGTGTGCCTTACTTGAAGTTATCTGGGGAGAGAACTTACTCATGGAAGTTTCCTTTGCAGTTAAGTGCCTGTTTTATTTCCTGAATCGTAATTTTTTCTTTTGAAAATCATCATCCAGTTGAAGCCAGATGTTTATCAGTTTGCGTCCATATCACCCTTCATTGTGTCAACAATTTCACCTGGCGATTTTTCCCTTTAACAATTTATGGTAAAAGTATTACAGTTCTTTTTCTCTGTGAATTCAGTTTTTTTATATGAACTAATCTACTTCACAGGAATTTTGAGGAACAAATGTGACAAGACTCCAGCAATGGTGTTTTGAAAGTCATAAAAGGGCACCTATAAGATGCATTATTATTTTCTTTGTACCACATTATCACCACCACCCCTTCGACCTTGGAGGTTACTGCTTCTCATCTTTATGCCTCCCCTTCTACCCCTTGCCGCCTGTTTCAGTAACTGTCATTTGTCATCAGTAGCACAGTGTCCTAATGACCTCACATCCTGGCAGAGTGCAGAGTTGGGAGTGAAACTCATCAATTTCACACACGCGGTAGGGACAGTTGGCTATTAGAAATACAAAATTGGTTTAAGACAAGGTCTCTACTTTGGGGATTTTTAAAGCCAAATTACAATAGCATGTAGTCACTCCTTAAAGTAAATTTGGGAGTTTTGTTTGTCAATGTTGTTCCCTGCCTTTTAAAAATACCATAATCCAGCTATATCCTCTGATCTATGAAAATTAAGCTCTGCATAAATTTCGGGGATTAAGCTATTGAGGCATGGGTCCTTGAGAGGTCGAGATAGAAAGAGACTCTCATTTGATCATCTCTTTAGTTGTGATCAAGAGCTGAAAGGTAGGGGATCCGAACCCATTCAGAGGCACCTCGAAGGAGAAGCCTGGTGACCTGTTTCTGAAAGGTCAATGCCACGGTGCACAAACGACATGGAGTAGTCCTGCTCTGCCTGATTTCATGATCGGTTGGAATTCACAACACAACCGAAGCTCATTTTCAATAGTAAATTCCTGAAAGCCTGTAGATAGATTTTCCCAATTCAACTTTATAACAACTGCAGCAAAGATCTCTGCAAAGTGAAGAATTCACAATATAAATAATCTCCTTATTGATTTAGGTTTCTGTATATTATGTTTTGAAGGAAGGTATCAGTTGGCATACTACATGCATGTATGTGTATTTACATGTAAACATAATGGTGGATATTTTCAAAGTGCATGTGTCATGAGGTGTGATCTTGGGTGGCACAAAGAGCTTGTGCTTTGTTAATCTCGAGGTTGGCAGTTCTAACCCACCCACAGTGCTGGAAGAAAGGCCCGGGGTTCTGCTTTCCTTAAGATTACAGCCAAGAAAATCCCACGGAGTAATTCACTCTTTTGGGATCAACTTGATGACCGTGGAAGTTAGTTTGGTTTTTATGTGATAGAGCAAATGAAGAATGACATTTATAAGTCGGGGAAGAGAAATAGTAGATGTTACAGGACTGCTATTTTTTCTATGTCTTCCTTATTATGTTACAATCATGGTATTCTTCCTGCTCTCCTATGACCTCACCTTTCAACCCTTAAATGCCACCACTGCTTTGATGTGTTCTTATTAAAAGTGAGACTCGTTTTCTAACAGGCTCCAGTAGAGTAGTACCTTATTTTTCATATCCTAGTGGATCTTTCTGTGGCTCGAGAGCTCTCTGTTTGAAAGGGATCCGCTTTCCGTTTCTTTCAGTGATTTCTCCACTGAAGTTTTCCATAGAAGGACACTCTGTGAATCTAAAATTCTTTTCCTCATACTGCCTTCGTTGGTTTCAGAAGATCAGTTCTAAAAGATATAGAGTACCCAAGTCTTTCTGGATGGAGTCAGAAAATGTACAGGGAACTTATAGAATACAGCTGTTACATTTCTGACTCTGTTGTCATGCAGAGCTCATTAAGAATGTAAATGATGGGCAAATGCAGATAAGCGCAGGTGTAATATGGAGTAGTGAGCGAAAGAGTGGCTGAGCGCTGATGAATGCAGTCCATGGGGCTTTGAAACATGTTGCATGTCCCTGCTATGGGCCACCTCTTGTGGTTAACCATACACAGATATCCAGTGTCACGAGTGGAGGGAAGGCAGGAAGAAAAGAAGTTAGAGGTGAGAGAAGTTGCCTGTACTCAAGTTCTAGTCTTGGATAAACGCGTGTGTGTTAGGCTAGATTTTCTGGAGAAACAAAACCAGTAATACTCATATATTTATAATAAATTTATATCAAGAAGTGGTCCACATAGCTGTAGAGAGCAGCAAGCCCAGTCTAGCTCAAGTTCATGGCCAGAAGCCCTTCCTGACTCATGAGTCTGCCAGCACTAGGAACCAGGAACCTGGAGACAGCAAGAGGTGGAAAGAGTTTAGGCCAGTGGAGGCAGAATTGAGTGAATCCAAGGCAGGCAACATGGCAGGCTGCTGATAGCTTCCCGGGTCAGCAGGCCACATGGCAGGTGCTGGTCCAAGTCTCAGACACAGAATCCAGGCCTGAGGGAAGGAGGAGGAGGAGGAATCCAGTTCTTCAGAGTCAATTTCTAGATATGAAGTAGGTCATACCTCCAAGGAGATATTATCAGGTTGTGACCTGCACCTGAAGAAGGAGGCCTTACTGCCACATGACCGAGGGTCCTGGCCCAGCCAAGTTGACACAAAATCTAACAATCACAGCATGTAAATAAGATTATTTAAGGACTGGTAAGTGCTTTAATATGTGTACCCAATATACAGCCCCCATCCATGACCCTTGTTAACAGAACCCTGATTTCTCTTTTTGACATCATTTTATTAGGGGCTCCTACAGCTCTTATCGCAATCCATACATCTATCCACTGTGTCAAGCACATTTGTACATTGGTTATCATCATTTACAAAGCATTTTCTTTCTACTTGAGCCCTTGGTATCAGCTTCTCTTTTTGTCCCCCTCACTCCCCAACCCTTGATAATTTATATATTATTTTTTTCATGTCTTACAATGACCGATGTCTCCCTTCACCCACTTTTCTGTTGTCCTTCCCCCTGGGAGGGGGTTATAGGTAGATCATTGTGATCTGTTCCCCCTATCTCCCCCCACCTTTCCTTCCCCTCCTGGTATGGCTATTCTCATTATTGGTCCTGAGGGGTTTATCTGTCCTATTCCCTGTGTTTCCAGCTCTTATCTGTACCCATGCACATGCTCTGGTCTAGCCTGATTTGTGAGGTAGAATTGGGGTCATGATAGTGGTGGGGAGGAAGCATTAAAGAACTAGAGGAAAATTGTATGTTTCATCGGTGCTATACTGCACCCTGACTGACCTGACTCATTGTGTCCCTTCTGTAAGGGGATGTCTAGCTGCCTACAGATGGCTTTGGGTCTCCACTCTGCACTCCCCTTCATTCACAATAATATGATTTTTTGTTGTGGGTCTTTGATGCCTCATACCTGATCCTATTGACACCTCATGATCACACAGGCTGATGTGCGCCTTCCATGTGGGCTTTGTTGCTTCTCAGCTAGGTGACCTCTTGCTTATCAACCCTGATTTCTTTTGTCTAGTCTCAGGCAGCATATTTGCATTCTAAGCTTCCTTGAAGCTAGAGATATTCATATGACACACATTTCATTAAAAAAAAATCATTTTATTGGGTGTTCATACAACTCCTATTACAATCCATACATCGATTGAATCAGGCATTTTTGTACATATATTGCCTTCATTCTTTTCTAGACATTTACTTTCTATTGAGCCCTTGGTACCAGCTTCTCCCCACCCCCCCGTAACCCCCTGATGGATTGTACATTATTATTTTCATCTCTCACACCAACCGCTGTCTCCCTGCCTCCATGGTTTCTGCTGTTCTTCCCCCTGTAGAGGGGTATGTGGTTATGTGTACGATCATTGCGATCAATAGCCCCTTTCTCCTTTCTTCTCCCCTCTTCCCCCTACCCTCTGGTATCACTATTCCCGCTCCTGTTCCTGGAGTCTGTGTGTCGTGAGCTCCCATCTCTTATGTATACCTGTGTACGTGTTCTGGTCTAGTCTGAATTGAGAAGCAGCACTGGGGTGAGGAAGCCTCAAGGAAGCAGAGGAATAGAGGGCACACGTTTCTAATTAAGGAAGCGTGAGGCAATTTCTGGAAACCTTTGTCTTTTGTGGTCAAAGGGAAAAATAATCTCTGATCTTTCCTTTTTCACAAAGTTTTATTGATGTATAAATTATGCATTATACAGTTCAGTGGTTTAAACATTTTGCAGAATTGTGCACGCATTACCACAATCAGTTTTAGAATATTTTCTTCATTCTTGTGCCTATTCTTAGCTCCTCATTTCCTTCTGACTGAGCTCCCCTGTCATAACCTAAAGAAGCTATTACTCTAGTCACTGCTTCTCTAGATTTACCTCGACTGGATTTCATACAAAGAAAATAATTTTTATAAACTGAAAACAACTACAACAGAGTAAAGCAGAGAAGAACCTCAATCCAAAAGACAGCAGAGAATAATAAAAACTAGAACAAGTTAAAAATGAGTTAAAAGGGAAAACAAATAGTATGTAAAATTTTAACCCAACTATATCTGCGGTGATCCACTTCCAGTGCTCTCTGGAGACATGACTGTCCACGTCCTTGGTTAAACCAAAGAAATTTAGTGGAGACTTAGTCCAGTTAGGGGTTTGTAAATTAATTTTGGGCTATCTCTGTTATCCATTTGCAAACTCAGTGCTTGGAATTTAAGTTCTAATACAGTCTCCCCTCTGATCTTGGATTTTATTGTTA